GCTATTTCCGTTATCGGTACTTATTACTATATTTTGGCAGGTTGTTCTTTTTTTCCAGGTAGGAGGCATGAGCTGAGAACTTAAAGGGGGCTTCTAAGGATGTTCTGAGAAACAAAGATGTTTCCGTTCAACCAAGTATATTGAAATGCTGTCTGTCGAATTCTGACTTTTCCATCGTGGGATCAGGCGGTCTTTAAATACACAAATCTTGTTCATATCTAGCATGAACGAAGCTAATCAAAGGTATCAAGCGATACTCTTTGGTAAAACAAACCAAGTATCAAAACGATACTTAAAACAATACATAAAACAAAACTAAGTCTGAAACGATACTTAAAACAAACCAAGTATCAAAGCGATACTTAACACAAAATATAAAACAAAACTAAGTATCAAACGATACTTAAAACAAATCAAGTATCAAAGCGATACTTAAAACAAACCAAGTATCAAAGCGATACTTAAAACAAAACATAAAACAAAACTAAGTATCAAACGATACTTAAAACAAAACATAAAACAAAACTAATAACTGAGTACCCATACTGGTTACAGATAGTATCAAAAGCAACTGAAAGAACATGAAGAAAAACCCTTAAGAAAAGGAAAGAAAGAACAATACTGTGGAAAGTAAATCAAAAAAAAAAAAAAAAAAAGACATGGAATGTAGAAAACAGCACTCAACCTTGGTAAGTAGTTAAGTCATCTATTGTATATAGTATTGATTCAAGCAATTCGAGTTGCAAAGAAGGATCGCGCATGAAGAACAAGTAAATCTTGTCATAGAATACTTTTTTACTGAAAAGCGACAGAAAACACAGGAAGCATGCTTGCCAGGAGGAAGGTGAATAAGGTTGTAAGGCCCTGAGGGCAGTGGGGAAAGAATATTATTGTGCTTAGAAAAGTAGCAAGTTTGTATTTTTGGTTTATAGGTTTTGCGAATACTGAGTTTAACAGTATCTGTAGATGCTTTAAATAAACTTCTAGCAAGATCAAGTCTGAATTGACGATGAGTAGTATTTGGATAAAAAAATATAAATAAAATGAAGGCATTAACAATTGAAGTATCTAAGATTCAAAAGAAAAGAGGAAGCCAATTGCAGAGGGCTTTAAGTTGAGTAGAATAGAATGCACAGAGTTGATCAGTCCAATCAACTCCATTCATATTATGGTTGTAGTCATCAATTATTTGAGGGATAGGTAGGATAGCCCAATCATGGCCATGGGTAAACGGTTGCCAAGTAGTGGCTGCATTAGTGCTGGTTGAACAGGGCCTTTTTCACTTACAATCCACTTACTGGCCAATTTCATGAAATGTAGATAACATGTGGACAGAGCCACTATCCTTCCACTGTAGAGCCAAAACAGGATTGCTAATAGAGCCTACTTGAGCTCCACAAAGATGATTCCATGGAAGCCATGGAAAATTATTATGAATATCAGGAGGAAATGCACTGTCATTCTGGCGTGCGGTCCTACAAGCCCCAATTCCAAAATTTTGAAGAACCTGAAAGAGGGTAATATTACTAAAATAATTATCCATATACACATTGAACTGGTGTGTACAATAGGACAGACTCTTAACTAGATCATGAATGGCCATTGAGTTAGGTGTAAGATATATAGAATCATGATAGTATCCTTAATCAGGAGTTCGAATTCCAATTGCTCGATAAGTATAAAGCCAGTTCCGAGTATAGCCCTTCTAGCAGAATGCGAAAATGTAGTAGTCCTAAGTGATAGGCTTATTAGGCATGCAGTAGGTATGCTTACTTCGACCACCAAACCGTACAATCATTTCATCTATAGCAAGATTGGAACTGGGCTGTAAGGCCCTCTGAAAGTACACTTGCAGGATTGAATGCAATGGCTCTAACTTCTTCCACCAGTCTGAATCCTTCCTCCCTTCTACCTGAACAGGCTCCATATACAAATATTACTTGATTTGCTAAAACTGCTCAAGAGATAACCTTTACTTTCCCCCAATCTGAGCTGGTTGCCACCAAAATTCTACCAGACTCCGGCAGCTATGCACACCCATAAAGATGATTTGTGCAACAAATTTCTGCATTTCTCTTACAGTAACTGGCTTCTAGAGTCGAATAGAACTGTGCCTCTTAAGTAGAACTGGCCCCTCCATCTTAGCTGCATACTCATTTGTATTACAAACTAGAGTACCAAAAATCTCATTATTCCAAAACTGAGAGAAAACATCATATAATGTACTAGAATGGCTGGAAAGTGTAGGTTCGTGTTAGGAGTATTGGGATCCGATACCTAGGAGTCACCCTGAGTAGGGTAACTCCATCCAGAATCGGAATCTCTGATCTCCAACACCCCCCTCCAGCCCCCTTACGGGGCCCACACGTCATCATACATATTAATCTCAGTTGCGTCCTGTGACTATAATACCACAGAGTTAAAGGTGTCAGAATAACACTGTATATGTCGCCGCTGTCCATCCAACTAGATCATGTTCACAGGATATATGAGAGGGGACCATCAGCTAGGTCTGAGAAGTGGAAAAGAGTAAATCTATCAACTATTTAGAAAGTTACTAGGCTTCCAAAATATAATACCTGTGGTATAGGCTGTAGGTAACAGGACATTTTCGCACAAAGAGATAGTATCGAATGGTAAAGGATCTCAATAAGAGACCAATACATTCACATCCACCTTACAACATCTGAAAGAGTCTAGAACTCCAAGGGACACTACCATAGAAGCCATTGGACTTCACAGAATGTTGTAACTAGGTTTCGGAACACATTGTGATTACAGGAGAACTTCTAATACTACAATAGTGATTGAAACCCTGTTACCCAGAGCAACCAAGGGTTGCTGACCAAGGGAATATCTGTCAATTTGGTGGAATAGCTTTCTGCAAATTAGTAGGAGGTCCTCCAGAAGACATCTATCAGTTAGGTAAGGAGTTATAGGGGTTTACAGTCAGGTGACCTGAAAAAAGGTTGTGATTATGACTACCTTCACAGATGCAACCTGCAGATAAAACTGATCATTTCATCAACGACGGAGACAATTGGAGACAACTCAGTTCAACTTGGGAACTAGGCCATAAGTCTAAAGACTCTAAAGATCAGATAACTATCATTGGAAACTATATGGTTCCAAGTTAGTTATATTGGAATTGCCAAAGAGGATGTGGTGATTTTCAGAGTCTCTAGGTGTTTGCAACTTTCAAGAATACCTGACATTGTGAGTTATAATCAGAAAGGAATATAGTTGTATGATAAATACATGTAATCCGTGAACACATAGACGCGGAATATAAATATCGAAGTGCCTCTTAAGCTTTAGACATCATTAAGCAACGGAGAAGAGACCTTAACAATATAATATTGTTTTACGATTTTATTTTACTTTACCAAATTTACTTCACTCTTAGTAATCATAAACGAAACGAGTGAACTCGAGCCTTCTCAGATAGTTTCTGTCTACAGAAACAAATCTTGATTAGCCTAGACAATTCTGAAGTCTATCAGCTTGTCTCCGCCTAACAGTTCGGCTTCATGGGTAGAAAATAAGTACTGTAAAGGGATAAAGATATCCGGTATCTCTGGCTTTAAGGTATATTGATTCTCAGCCAGAGGAGTTATAGGTGGAATAGGTGAATCAACCATTTCAACTGCTTTGGATCTGCGCTTTGCTTTTTTGAGAACTTTTGCACTCGCTCTTTTTTGTGTCACATATGGCTTTCGGCCAGCATGGCTGCAGGTGACCGGGGAGGAATTGTTGGAAATTGTTTGGAGGGGCTTTCGCTGCAGCATCTTTGGATTTCTTCTACTATTTCTCATACTTGCTCTTATGAACCTTTTTCTTGACGTTGTGATCTTACTTACTAATCATGTCTTAAAACACTAAAAGGGGTAGTCGAAAATTTTCCACCTTTTCAGCAGTCCAAGAGATAGAGGATATAGATTTCCCTTTTCTGGTCTTCTCTGAGGGTTTGGGAGTGTGGTGGTGCCATGGTAGGGGGTGATGTTGAGGTGATTATTGGTTGCGGTGTTGCCAAGCAGGGGTACGTAGACTTTTCAGACACGACTGTACTGTCAGCTGTGCATTGCTGGCAGCTGGTGTCAGGTGTTCAGTTGATTCCAAACATGGTGGCATGTCCGAGCCTGGCAACCAACCTGCCCGTATGTGACAAGCGAAAACTTGGATAACTCGAGGCATTGTATCATACCGGCATTGTATAAGTACAGTACGAGCACTTGTACCGTAGGGTGCGAGTACTTATATACGAGTAAAGCACAAGTACGATATCGGTGGAGGTGGGGGGCTTCATCCTTTCTCTCCTCCCTTCGCTTGTGTGCGTGAAAGCTGGAACTGGAACCGACATCTTGCGCTCCGCCGGCATTTATGTATGTTCAGGTTTCACAACGATCGCCTAGACAAAGGGACACCCCTTCTCCCCAGAGGATCTTCACTTTTGTTTGCATGAAGGCACTTTTGGTCATCTGACTGATATCATAGGCACCATTCTGATTGAATTGCGGGGGAGGTTGGATGCTGAAGATTAAGGGGAAAAGACGAGCTCATCCCCCGCAAGAGCCTGAATGTCGTGCCAACTATGGCACAGTACTCAAGTACATATCATACCCGTTATTTTTTTCTACTCCCACCGCAGCTTTTCTTTTTTCCTCCCCACTTTCCATCCCCCTCTTCTCCCATCTCTGATCGATCCCCCCCCCCGGAATCCTACCCTACGGTACCCTGTTCACTGCTATTGCCCATCCCGTGCGAAAAAGTAAACTTTGCTGATCATGGGAGAGACAAAAGACGGAGACTCCTCCGTCTCTGTCACCACTGCAGCCGCTGAGATACGAATCCGGGTGGCAGCATGTTGAGAGTGCCCGGTATTCAGCAGCTGGCAAGGTGATGGGGACACATCCCTTCTTGCTTATTTACTGGGGTCGTCTTGCTCCCTTCCCCCCGCCCCCTTCTTTCGCATTTCTTAATGCTTTTCATCAACCAGATCTCATTTCTTCATCTGGGCGTTTGAGCCTCTTTGACGTGAAAAGGGTTAAGCATCACTACTGACATGAAAACTGCTTCTCCTCTCGCCAACAATTTCCTTTTCAACAGGGTCGATAGCGCAACCGTCGTCTTCGCCAACTCTTGCCCAGGTTCCACCAGTGCGTCTAGCCTCCCGCCGTCGTCTCCCCCGTCACTAAACCCACCAAGCCAACCATCCCATGATTGCCGCGTCATTGCTGGTTCTGGTCCTTTCCGCCGCCTTGATCCCTCTCATTCCCAACGTGAGGCCCTGGATAGCGAAAAACATCCTCCATAGAGCCTCCACTTCGACATCCTCCCCACCACCACCCTCGATACATTCATCAACAGGCATGTCTTCGGCCGCCTTAGCTTCCCCGCCCGATAGCCCCACCGATGCCACTTCGTCCACCTCAGTTCCCCCGCTGGCAGACCTCTCTTCAGTGTCGTTGCTTTCCGAAGACCTTCAATTGACATACCTCGCGGAAGGCGCCGCAAACATTATCTATCGCCTCTCCGCCCCGCCAGGGGCTCCTCCAGCCGATGAATATGTCAACAGATTGTTGCGACTCCGCAAAGCGCTCCCTTCTGCCCAGCCCAATTTGTTAGCTTACTCTCACCTCCTTCACACTTTTCACCCCCTCTTCCCTTCTCATCTTTTGGTTCCGACGACACTTATCAGGGTCCCGAAATCAGTCATACTTCGGGAAAACGTCAACCTTGTTCAACTGGAGAATGCTGGAAAGCGCCCCGCCAAGAGACGTGGTTTATATCTTGAAGAGGAAACGGAGGATTATGGCTTCGTAATCCTGGATATGAGCCCACGTCCCGTCGAAGATCTCCCGCCGACGCCTCCGGACACCGACGATACCACTACGCCACCGATAGCTGGTGTCACTGCCGAGGGGTTCCAAAGGAAGGATTTCTCGACCCGTCAGATTCTTGTCGAGTTCAAACCAAAATGGGTGGTTCAGTCTCCTTCCGCTCCCGCCAACTGGAGGCGATGCAGAACCTGTGCGTTACTTCTCCAGAAGAATGGTGGAAAGCCGAGCTTCTGCCCGCTTGATTTGTCCTCTCGAGAAGAGTCACGTGTTAGGGATACCCTGCAGCACATTCTGCCATCTATCCCGCCGAAGAATTTGCAGCTCCGTCTTGGAGAAACTTGGGAGGATGCCAAGAAAGTGATTGAAGACCGCACTGTAGACTTCCTTGTTAGCAGTGAGTTGATGCCCCTGCTGAAGCGCTTGCAACTCGAGATGGACCCCTTGGGCCCCATCAAGGCTGCTCGGGAAGGTAGTCAATACTGCCAGGAGAGATTTATCACCGCCATGACCGTCCGCGACCTCACCATCTTTCTTCGCATCGACTTGGATGGTAGTGTTGAAGCACGCATCGGAGACTTAGATCTCAAGACTGGTGAAGCCGGAAAATGGGATTACTGGAGCAAGGTGGAGCAGACCCTAATCACCGATGGTTACTACACGGGAACCGAAGAGGGGGCGTCTGAGAAGGGCGTCTGGTGCAAACCGTAATTCGTAATGTCTACACACGCGCGCGCGCGGAGATTGTCTCCCAACTCAGCAGTATAAATTCATTATTTGCTCCTGGCTACGGAGATTTATGGAAGCGGTTTAACGAAGGTCATGTTATTTAGTGTATTAAATTTTTAGTGTTTTTGTGCTCCGCGGCTTCATAAGCTCCCACTCGATATTCTACAGTTGCGCTTCACCTTTCCGGATCTCAACAATCCAGATGTCACACTGCCCCTATAGTGTTCCTTGACCAGTGAACTTTTTTAGTGTAAACTTCCAACTCGTCATCCCAGATCACTTGATAAGGTTCGAACAGCCAGTTGTCGATTACCTATCGCAGTTATTCATACTAACTTTGACTCACAACCCGGTTCCTGGCGTTTTGTATCTCCATGGAATGCCTTTATAATGGATGTCAAAGTTCTGCAAATTTACCGTTCGAACCCAAACTCAACCCTGAGTGATCATCGGTGATAGCGACCACCTCCATTACATTTGGGCTCTGCTGACATCCTTCAATGACCCTTGGGAATGATGGTAAAAGGAAGACCCTTGCTTTCCTAGATCGGCTATAGTACTCATAAGAGGAGTATTATCATCACCATCACCCCGTGAACTTGATCGCCAGGGCCGCAATGTCTCCCCTGGAGTTTTACTGGAGTTTTAGGTCCGCCTCCCCTACCCAAGTCGAAAATTTATCTCAGGCACAAGAATTTGGTATGGGGGCTCTGCATCCTATGGTAGTTGTAAGACCAATATATTCGGTCAAAATTAGCCCTTCCAAATATCAGCTATCCCCAAGAAGATTTTGTGATCCGGAGGGAAACGGTTTCATAGCTTCATACTCCAATCCATACCCTTGTTATGGCGCCCTGCCAGCGAACAGCCTCAAACGAAGCCTTTTCTCTCTACCCCCTATCGGGGTATACACTGTGCTCACATCCAACAAGGGGTTCCCGAATTGCTCTAGTGGTGGGGGTGGAAATCAGTCTCGAGATTGGTTGATATCTTCTTTGATACTTGGTCTTTTCATCAGGGCTCACGAAGGTTCTTTATTAGAAGGCTCTGAAAATTATTCCGCGGAAAAATCGAGTCAAGTGTGTTTAGTGGGTTCACGAGTAGAGAAGCTAGATCTCATTGTTGTGCTTCCTTGTTCTACTTGTTTCCGTTATGGATTTGACAGAGACTTACACCATACCAGCCCACAATCACTTTTCTTTTTTTGTTAGTATCATACCAAGAATAAAAAAACACGGTGCAAGTACACTCAGTCTGACCGGGCCGGGGTTCCGTCCTCTCCCGGGGCATGTCGAAACCTCCCTTTCCGAGTTCCATAGGGAAATTCGCTACGGAGAAGTGGTTTTCCTGACCCCCCCCCCCAAAGGGATGCTATCATCGAAGAATACTCAATACGCGCTCAGACGGCGGCGTATCCCCGTGGGCGACATTGGCAGTGGACAGCGTACGTAAGTGGTGCTGGCGATTTGAGCAAGCCCTCGATCGGCACCTGGTCTAGTGAGCTCGAATACACCATCCCCGGCGGGCTCGGTGCCTTATGCCATATGGTGCAAAGCGCTTTAAAACGTGTAATGTGCTAAGGGGGATGCGCATCTTTCCCTAGAGCTTTTTTTGGAAGAGGGCTTTCCCTCTTCCCTACATAAACCAACCGAAGGTTGAATCCGATCCCTATATGACGCAACTTGTGAATTCACGCGCCATATCATAATAAGGAATAAAGTTGCGCCTCGAAAGTATTTGCTGATCATACCTCATCACTCGGAGATCTGTTTTTACCTTGTCCCCCATGCACCGGTACTATACGGTATCGCAAAGGTGTAAGAGGCGGCTTTGGAGTCGCCCCGCCAACATCCTCGATTACTCCGATCCTGACGGTATCATAAGGACTCAGGAGTAGACTTCATATAAGTATTCCCGCCACCACTTCAAGATCACTTCTTGCTATTGCTCATACGTTACTGAAAGGACCACGTTATGTTTGGAGAGGTAATAGAAGCGTTTAGCAAGCTGCACTGCCCCGCAGGAAAGAGGTAGGCAAGCAATGCTTTTCCACGCAATAAAACTGCTTTTGCCGAATTGGCGATCGCGCGTCTTCGGTCGAACGGGTTTTCACAATGCGTAAGCGGAAAATACTGAAGGAAGCGAAGGGAGAAGGTAATATTCCCGAAAGCGTTTATCGCGGTTCCCACCTTCGCCGCAAAAATTGCACGATTGTTCGCTAGTTTGCAAGATGAACTAAAGGAGGGGGGGAAAGAGAGACCCCTTATAATATGCCTTTCCGGGTCACATGTCCCGACGAATATGGTTCGTGCAGCCCAAAACGTACGCCAGCAATTGGCATTTTTATATGATTATACCCCCCCGCTAAGATAAAATATTGCTTCGAAAAAACCACTAGGTTATTGGGAATACCAAAGGGAAGAACATAGTGGTTTTTTTTTTTGAAGTAATTACAGATCTTGATAGTGAGATATATAATCAATTGACGAGTTGTTGATTGGCGCACCTTTTGGATTGTACGAACCATACTCTGCAGAACAGTAACCTCTACTGACTATGAAGAAGCTAAAATATAAGCACATTCTCGCCTCCATGGTATTTTCATTGTCCCTCGTGATGCTTTAACTAACAAATCCAGGCTGCTAGATCTACCGTCTTGTAAGTAGAAAGTAGGAGATGACAATACCGTGCTTGGTGTAGACAAGTCTCGATTTTCATTTTCATTTTTTCCACAAGCCGCCAGCAAATAAGTTCCCCAGAAAACTATCCCAAGCGTAAAAGGCTCACAAGTAAACCGCAAGCTCAAGAACTTCTGTGAAAACCTTCTAGGAAAACCCCCCCCTCGCCGGAATGCCATCCTGCTCCTAGAAAAACTACTACACTGAAAGGGAACCATAATATCCCCTCCTAATACTCCCCTCAAGTAAAAAAAGTATAAAAAAAAACATGAGAATAGCTACCTATAAAGATGTAATAAGGTCACATTAGGTAAAAAGGCATAATTGGCTACTGTGAAGAGAGTGGGGGCAAGGAAGGTTGATAGTTGAGGTCCCTAATATTCATCTGCCGTTCATGGTCTACTAACATCTGACGACACCTATCAGAAGCCAGTTGTCTGATATCGTTTGCCAGGTGATTGAGACAACGTTCCCACTTGAAGGGTATTTCATAGTCATCCTCGTTTGGAATATCCAAGAACTCACTGAGCAAGAATTTAGCTTGCAGGAGATTGGAGGAGTCGATAAGATCCTATATATATTAGCAATGGTAACTTGCTATTCTCTTCGAGTGCTTACTCACAATACGATCACCAAAATGAACAGCTAATCCTGACTCTAGATCCCGCTTCCAAATCTCAATGAACCCTGTAATCTTTCCCACCCAAGAAAATCCCTTGTATATGGCAGGTCCATACATATGCTCAAGGGTAAATACCTCTCCTGTTATCTCTCGCCATCTGGGGAATCTGAGTTGGGAAAGTTGTTCATTATCGAGGTCACGAACTGGGCACTTATAATCCGGAGTCTCCTCAAGCTTGAAAAGCATAACCGCAGATACCGTTTCGTGACCCTCAAGCCACATCTTGACATCCTCAACCAGCATATCATATGTCTCAGAGAGACCAACCTCCAGGGCAAACTTCACCACCTGTTTCCCGGCAGCACTTTCGATTTTTAATGCAGCATCAGGGGTCTTTTTGGATCTATAATAATTCCCATCAAAACCGGTGAATCGTTGGTTTCTCACAATGCGCACCTTGTCCATGATGCTCCCTGGATGGCTGTCACGTGCCAATGTAAACCCTTCTGAAATGGTCTCTACAATCCCTTCATGGATAGTGCTTGACTTCTGTGTGAATTTTAGGATTGAAGATAACGAGTTAAACGAATATCTTGGAAACCTAAATACATTTAGCAAAGAACCCACTGGATATGGGAGAAACAGCCCAACCTTTCATCCTCATCGACGTTTAAAGCTTTTTTGAAGCTAATGTAGTCTTCTATCGAAATTTTCATTGTAAGCCCCTTCTCGCCACATCCAGAGGAATCATATCGTCCTTTTTGTAACTGCCAGTGCTTGAATCTCTCAATGCACTTCTGACTCTCCGTAGACCTGGACTCCTGACACAGAATGGCCGGAACCTGTTCCAGTTGAGGAGGATCCTGGCCCTTCGGATTGGTAACGTGGTGGTTACAAAGACGTGGGGCCACGGGGGTCTGTGGGACCAAGGATGGAGCAGTAGGAAATGGCATCTGAGCAGGCCTAGGAGTGCGGCTACCTTGACCGACTTGGAGGTGAATTTGTGGAATTTCTGATCGGTAATACGATCTATTGTGGCTTCCTGAGGCATATGGTTAGTAGTTCATCCAGATAGAAACTTACTACAAGGATTATGAGCAGAGACACCAAAAAGGTGATAGATTCACTCACATAATGACTAGGGATAAGAAAATGAATCAAGGCCGTAGCGTGTATAAAAGAGAAACGCAAAGGAGGACAGCAAAACGAGCAAAGTGACGAGAGAGATAGCGGAAGAAAGGAACCAACAGGAACGGGGTAAGGCGGTCCGCTTGTGAATACTCACTGGGTTGATTTTTCACCACAGAAAACTGTGCTGTGTAAAAGTGAGGACCAAAGGTGTTGCAAGTATCGATATGTCTTTCCAGGAGAACAGGTAGACGATTAAATACTGAATACAGGAAGGTATGGACATCTATTTCAAGTGCTCTCGCACACCAGTGGAAATACTATGTGATTCCATAACCAATAAAACCCTCACAACCCCGCACAATCAAGCATGCCTCTGCACAAACTTGTCTGCTTCCACACACGCCTTCTATTGGGATCACTTCGTAGGGGTTTGTGTAGGGTTTCATTGTTCCCTCCGGACGGTACGACAGAGGCATGGCGAAAGTGCTACTGCCATGGTGCAGTTGGCAGGAGAACAAGTATACGGCACGATATGCAGACAAAAGATTATTCAAAGGTGGCATTGTTGGTGAACCAGGGGGCCATCGTGAGGTATGAGACCTTGGCTTTCAGCTTCCACTGTTGCAATGTTATTACCCTAGGAATACCATATCTAGGGGACGTGCGGGGAGAAACTAACCTTCGGGTATTGGAGCTGGTCATTCGCTGTGTTCGGTATTGGGTGAGACCCTGGGATACATCCTGTAGGATGCTGTGCTCATGCCAGTGAACCCAAACGTCCAGTCCGTCCGTCTTCGGGCATGGACGGGGCGGACGGGCCGGCGGGCTCTGCCAATGTCTCAAGATATGGAATGTACTGAGTTCCTACCGGGCCCTACAGGTGACGACCGGAACATGCCATTTGCACTAAGAATGCAGGGCCCTGGCGTCCACCCCCTTAGACGGCCGTCTTTGTGAATGCTGGACGCCATGCCCTGCCGTCCTCATCCACCCCCGCCCGGGACGGTTAGGAACACTTGCTCCTGCTCATGGGATTTGAGTAACTACCGTACTTTCCTCTTGACATCTAAACATATACCTGTAGAAACAGAAGGTGTAGTCGTTACATGAGCAATGGCGATCCCCAGGTCTCTTTCTTCCGCACCCAAACTGAACAAGATACCTGTCGCCCTGGCAACAGATCCGGCTAGAACTTTCCACAGGTCCACACAAACAAGGGAAAACTTGGCTTGTTTGGTCTTCCATGAACCTGGTTCGGGAGCTGCTCGGCGGGAGAGGCTTGATGATTCTTGATGCCCTCAATGCCTTCGGGGGTCGGGAATGTGATGCTGTGTTTGCGACCGACAGAGTCAGCTAGAACGTAGACGCGGTAAGTGACCGTGGGTATCGAATACCACCCTTGGGCCGGTTCAGGCCAATGTAGCAAGGCCGGTACGCGATAAGTTGGTCCGTAAGAGACCGGAAGAACGGTAGCATAATTCAAGGTATAATAATTACTCACCGAGAGAGTGAACAACAAATACAAACTTCTCTCCACACAAGTGAAACAATAACCTGAGCATCCGACCATGTCGAGCTGGTTCCGGGTATATCGAGCCGCATCCACCGTTTCCAACAGCTCTAAATGCTTTTGCTCTATCTTAGCAGTGAATCGAGGTGCCGATAGCATTGTAGTGCGGAGAAAAAGGAAGAAGCAAAGAGCCACAAGTAACCGGACCCATCGGTGGTGAACCGCGCCGCGCCCACGAATAATCTCCAAACTAACAACCCCGAGTGATCAACAGTGAACCCCTATCCTGCTATAAACAGAACAGTGCCCGATAATTTATGGAATACTGTAGAGCAGTTGCGTAACACTAACTATTTTTTTTTAAACACGGATTTGCCCAATACAAGCTCTGTACAGTAGAGTACTACACGTAGTACATCCACTCTATCTCAACCCACCACCAAAACCCCTCCAATTCCCCGTTTCTACATGCACTGTACTCGTACTTTACCAAAAGATGAAAACCACCTAACCCACTGTGCCCGTATAGTACCGGGGCTCGCTTATTACTGCATAACGCCTTTTCCCGGCTTCATCTTGACTGTGTGGCAAGCAAACCTGAAACACTCGCGTGATCCCCACGATACTTGTACCTGGGTGCTGGGAATATACTCGAGTAATCCCTGCCTCTGCTCCATCAGGAACAACTCATTCCCGTGAAGTGGAAGGGATCGGCTCATTCTCCCCCTTCCGAGATGGGCTAGTGTGGGACATCGTGGGAGCCTATTGTCGGGGATATATTGGTTTCGTGAAGAGGTGATGGAAATCATAACTAAAGATAAGAAGCAAAAAAAACAAATAACACCTTTCTAACTCTGAAAAAAAAATCTCGTGGGGGGATCCCCCCAAGCCAGAAAATTCAAACTGTTAACAAATCAATAAGAACATTCATATTTTATACGCTTCACTCTTTCTATAGGTTCGAAAAACTCCACCTTAGAGTCAAAGTCCCTTCCCTCAATGCTAGTTCCGAAACAGGACATTGATACAAAACATAATCGACCGCCTCCCTCTCCAAGTTGCGGTAGCCCTTTGCCCCTGTTTTCCTAATCCGCTCGCCCAGCAAGATAATTCTTTCCTCCTTCATTTGGTGAATCCTTCCTGCCGGGAATACAGACCCAGTCATGAGTGCCTACCATGCCCGGAGCGGTACAATAGCAGTACTGTATACAGAACAATTCCTAGCCACCCACACTCTATCGACGTACCCCCGTATCCGGGTGCCGTGTGAATGGATACGAGAGATATAAATCCCCCCGCTCTCACCACCCTCCGAGTAGACCTTTCATAACAAGTAGGATAGGTAGCTATACGAAGAAACAGGAATTGCTCCCATTCCGTCCATTCTTTTTCCCCCCTTCTTATACCCAGATATCACATTCTTTACGTCTGTCGCGCAGGTTTCCCTTCTTTCTTTCTTTCTTTTACCTTCTTTTCCTAAACCGCTTCCAATCATGAGATTCTCACTTGCCACCGCTGCAGCGATATTGCTAGTCCGGGGGGTATCGGGACAATTGGTGGGAGGGGTCCCAGTGGGTCCTAAAACTTCACTCAGCGAGAAGTCCGGCACTATCTGTAACGTCCTCAACTACGGAGCTGTGGCGGATGGGAAGACGGATATCGGTGTCGCCATTACCAACGCATTTTCGCAGTGCGTTGCTAAAGCCAGTGGGGGAGCGACGCTGTTGGTGCCTGAGGGGGAGTATCTGAGTATCTCCTTTCCCTCTTGTGCGCTCGGACGGAAGGACAGCGGGCTGATGGTGGCGATAGTTACTACCGGAGTGGTACTCAACGCGGGGACAAAATGGGCTTTCCAATTGGATGGACTGATCACCTTGTCTGAAGACGGACGCTTCAACGGGAACGCAATTGTCGTGAAGAGAGCCACGGACTTTGAGATGTACTCTAGCAACGGCAAGGGAGCTATCCAAGGACAAGGTTACAGGCAGAGAATTTCTGGGTCTAGTCAGAATGCAAGGTTGTTGAGGGTATGCTCTACCACCGCCCGAACCAGGCCAAGGGGAGATAAAAGCGTTAACGAACAATAGTTCATGACTTGCGTGGACTACTCCGTGCACGACCTAATTTTAGTAACCCCCCCTCTTCCCCGATTAGATACCGGTGCTGACGGAGGGCACACAGATCGACTCCCCAACTTTCCACCTATTCCACAACGACGCTACAAACCTCGAAAACTACCACATCACCATCCGCGGCGGGAACAAGGGCGGCCTAGACGGCATCGATCTAATCTGTCTGTCAAATTGCTACCTTCACCACATAGAAGTTACCAACCGCGACGAATGTATCTCCGTCAAGACTCCCTCCAAAAACGTGCTCATCGAGGAGATTTACTGCAATCAGAGTGGAGGCATGAGTATCGGGTCTTTGAACGCAGCAAGTATGTCCCCTCCTCTTCCTCCTCTCCGGTATTGGTAAAGCGACAGTGCTGACAAGGGTAAATAGCCGGAAGTCAGATCGAAAGCATCCACATGAGGAACATATACGTCCACCAGTGCACGCAGATGCTCATGATAAAGACCTGGCCAGGCGGCAACGGTGCAAACGGGTACGTCCGCAACTCCATATTCGAGAATTTCCACGCCTACGATACCACCTACGCCCTCGATATAGACCAGTACTGGTACGGGCGCACAGAGCCCAACACGGGCGCTATCGCCATCTCGGACCTTCAATTCAAGAACTGGACAGGAACAGTCGACAACGGCATTTCTCGCGGCCCCATCGTTATCCGCGGGAGCAATATCGTCCCCTTAACGGACATAATGATGGAAGACTTTCGCATGTGGACGGTGAACAAAGACGTTGTCGTCCTGCGGTGCAATAACGTCTACGGAACGGGGTACTGCGCGCGGGAGCTGAACGGGGCACAGTCGACGCCTTTTTCCTCCACGGTCACGATTCGTGAAACTATGGCGGGTTTCGTTAGTCCTACTAGTCCTCCTTGGGGGGTTGGTCCGACCGGGTATGGGCTCACGGTACCGATACCGGTGTATACGCCCGCGCCTATGTGGGGCTTTAAGCAGGGAGGCGGAGCGGCGATTGAGCCTACACCTCCACAGGTTACCACCACTCCAAAGACGGCCACGGGCCCGCCTGCTACGAGCACGCCTAGTGGGCCGAAGCGCAGGGCTTATGGAAGGAACAGGAGGAACTGGTAGAGAGGGTAGATCTGCAACGTCGGTGGTGTCGCAACCCCAATTTTCGAAGTAATCAAATATAAGAACCCCGCTGCTTTTTTGTGGCGTATTGTGCATGTGGGACATTGTAGACCTTCTATTCGGGGCGTTTGGGATGATAAACCGAGTGATGTGCTATGAGGGGGTGGCTCTGCATTCAGTCTTCATGTAGTACGGAGGAGAGGAAGTGAATATACCGTGCATCAAGGAGGCAGAAAGCATTATCAAGGTCTCATACCCGCTGCACTGGTGCTACGAGTTATGCCGGCACGCTCCGAACGCAACATTTCCTTGGAACCGTGTCCTGAGAGTAATAGTGAGCTACCCTCAAGCCTTGAAAATTCTATCCCTCTTCGAGGGAGAGCTGTGCGCAGCACCCGTAGATGACGATGTTGGCTCAGTATGATACCACCCAAGGTCCTCACTTCCCCCCGACCCAGCCACCCTAAAAACCCGTCGCTAGGGCAATCGCATCCCCGAACCAATCTCGACGTGCCTCAAGATAAGAGCGGTTATCCCGGTGCTACCCTTCTATACGCGTGCGAGTGCTCAGCAGCGGCAAGTCTTCGGATTAATACCCCATGCTCCCGAAACCCCACAACCCCCAGACCGAAAAGGCACTAACCAAACCGACAACCTCCCAATGCCCAGGCTATCCTCAAGAGAGCACCTAGGCGCCGGCCATCCACGATAGGCATCAAAACCTATCATGTACAGTACCACCACTCCCAACCAAAATGGTTCCAAAGCCTCAAGACCGTTGCGTGCATACCGTAGACACGACACGGCAAATTCACCTTCCCCCCTCGTTACGAAGGATACCCCTCCGAGTTCCCTGACCAACCGTTGGGGAGCCCATGATCACACCTAAAATCTTGATCAAGGCAGAGATGGTCCTTCTCTACCTATTATAACAAAATGCTAACTTGCGCCTATCCGACACCGGCGTTAGCACGTTCTGCTAATTTACTTACCTATGATACCCACCAGGAGGAGGAGGAGGAGGAGGTTGGACAAGGTGAGAGAGCCACCAACGGACGAATCCAGCAAACCGACCGACGCATCGATTAACGAATTCTCACTGATTCGCCAAGCATCACACACACCTCCTCTCTCCCCGCCCCCCACATTTATCCTGCGGAATACAGCATAGGTTTCGCCGATAACTTATCACATCACGACAAAGCGTTGTGCTCCCAGAAGTAGACAGGAATTATTTTTATTTTTACACTCTTTCAAGAGGTGCTCCGATTCTGTCTGTTCTTTAGGTTTACGAACGGTAATGGGTAAGACATAGTTATCCCTGGAGCAAAGAAAATACCCTTTAACCAGCCCCTCCCCACAAGACATACACACACCTCTTGTCTGCGCACAAGCAGGTAGGTTATGCATGAAGCGCACTGCAGGGTTCCCGAGTGAGTTGTTATGAACGCGATATCTGCCAATCCCCAGAAAGTGGAATTTCTTCTTTTCCCCCGCAATCTAACAAACAGCCTGAGAAATGACTTACCGGATTCTCGTCATCACAAAAAAAATCATGTCCAAGCGGTGGGTTTTAAAAAAGGGTTTCGCCCCGCGCATGTAGTGGTGGGTTCCTGGTTTTTCGCAAGATATCCATCATGTGGACGTGTGCGTTTGTAGAGGGTTTTTTTTTTTTTCCGCCATGTTATGATACTACAGTCGTCGCCTCCATCGATCATCGGAGTTGATGTTCAAGGCATGACAACCCCCACGAGCCCCACAACAGACACAGGAACTCGCACAATAATGACGATAAAGCCCGGCCTCCACCCAATCCTATCCAATCCAACTCAATTATCACAGCAGTTCATGCCGACCTGACGATAAACTAGTCTACTCGTACTCCGGAAAGCACCATCAATACCCCCACAAAATGGCGGTCATAATCGATTGTTACGAGTGACCATAAATGACCCAATAACCTTCACCCGATCATTCATTGATGTGATGCAAAAATCGGTGACGAATGGAAAAAGAAAAAAGTACTCCATCAAACTCGCTATTGATAATAACTCAAATACGTGCATAATCCATATCATCAGTCCATACTTCGAGCTGTGAAAGAGAAGAATGAGAAACGAAATGAAGTGAAAAGAAGTGAAAAGAGAATCATGAAAAAACTCCCCCAAACGAATGCTACCAAGCTAACGGAAGGATGAAAATGGAAAGAAAAAAGAAAACCCCATGCGATGCACCTCTACATCATTGCTATGCGAGGAACCGAGAGCAAACTAGATATCCGGGAAGAGAAAAATAGAAAATGTAAACAAAGGGAGAAAAGACACAATAACGTACTATACTATACAAGAATCGTCCTCTCGTCCGTTCTGTTCGTTTCAATCTTGCCACACAAAAGAAATTAGAAAATGAAAAAAATGAATTCATGGAATGAGAATAAACAAATAAAAATAAACAAAATGCACGCTCTATATGGGCGCTGTTTGCAATTTGGAATAAAATCAATCAATAAAGCTTTCATATCGTGAATTATGCGATTATGTCGATTATGTCGTGAAAATAAAAAATTCGGGAAAATTCGGCATGCTTATGATTTCCTGCCCCAGAACGACTTTATTGACTTTACTCGCTCTACTCGCTCTTTAAGCATCGGCTTTGGGGGGGAGGCGGCAGCTGCTGCAGGGGTCTCGGTGGCGGGTGTTTCGGTAGTGGCGGGTTCAGCAATGGCGGCGGGTGCGTCGGACTTGGCAACCCCCTCTGTGGGGATGGCGGGAGCGGGAGGAGGAGCGGGAGAGGCTTCAGTAGTGACCTCAGCTGGTCGCTCAACTTCCTTTCCCTTTCCTTCGGGGGTGGCGGGTGCTACTACGGGGGCGGTAGTGGAGGTAGCAGTAGCAGGTCTGGTGGTAACTTCCTCACCCTTATCTGACTTTGCAATGCTATTCTTCCTCTTCAATTCCTTCGAAATACCCCACCAGCTCGATCGGCGGGATGCCGGCTTCGGCTTCTCCTCCTCTCTCGTGCTCTGTGCGTCGTCGGATGAAGGACCGGCGACCGGGGATACGGCGGGAGTCTCATCGGGCTTTACTGGGGAGGCAGTGTTGATGGATTCACTGGGCGGCTTGATAGCCTCGCGGACATCGGTGGTCGACTTGGAGCCCGCAGGTGCCTCAGTGTCTGAAGCCTGCTTAGCAACCGCGTTTCGCTTCTTATCGCCCAAAGACAATTTCGAGATGGCATTGTTCCAGCTCATGGATCGTGTGATTGATCTCTCTGAGCGGCGGGAAGACGGTCTAATCGCTTCTGCCTCGTCTCTCGACGTCCTTGTCTCCGGGGGAGTAGGTGGGGGCGTTGGCTCACCTAGCTTGAGGATCTGTGAAGATGCTGATGATGGAGGCGCCGACTTGTCCCTCTTCTTCGACTTTCCACCCGGAATCACTGAAGTAAGTGACCTCCTGAGGGAGCCCTCCCTCTTCATTGCGTCGTTGGATGGCTGGCGGGTTGGGAGACCAGATACCATACGGCGGAAGGATCCTTTGCGGCTGGGGCTGGACTTGGGGTCTTGCGAGCTGATGGACTTGCCGTCATCCATGATGCTTCCGCCGCGGGATGGTGGGGGTCCGTGAGATGGGGAGTCGACGACAGGAGCTGGCTTGGGCTCCTCAGTCTTTTTCACCTCCTCGTTGATGGAGAGTTGGTCGGGACTGGCGGAGACGGGGTGATCTACAATCGAGATATCGTCCTCGTCGGAAGTGGCGGGCTGCTTGCCCTTGTAGTCAACAGTCAAAGAACCACTGTTTTCCCTGGCGGGTGCGGCGGACTCCTCCGGCTCCTCCCTCAGATCAGAGAGGGAGTTAGCCCTCGAGTGCTTCCTGCTTCTAATACTGGCGCTATCGCTCAAGGTCTTGCGATGGTCCTTCTTGTCTTCTTCGGACGAGGCCTTGTCATCTTGAGCCTCCTTCATGGCAGCCTCGGCAGCATCACGAACCTCCTCAGGAATAGCGGCAGGAGTGGCAGGAATAAGATTGAAAACTGGTGTTTCCTCCTTATCTTCCTTCTCCTTATTTTCTTCCTTCTCGGCTTGGATGTGCTCGGGGACAGTCTCAGCGGCGAGCTCGGGCTCCATCGCCTGTGGCTCCTCAACTTTCTTCTCCTTTTCTTCCTCCTCCTCCTCCTCCTCCCGCCTCCTCGAGGCATCACGCATAGCGAAAGCACGGGGGAGCGAGCGAGATCGGTAAGATGAGGCTGGTGAATCTTTCGGGGGCGAACCAACGATAGACTCCTCAGATCTGGGTCTCCTGATGGAAGCCGGCTTCCCGGTGGGGATGACGATCGACACCGGGAGAGGCTGGATCTGGAGGCTGTTCTTGCGAACGTGGAAGGGACATTGACCCTCGGAATCTGGAGTAGCCACCTCGGCGGCCTCAGGGCCTTCGAGGATGGGCTGCTCGGTCTGCAACTTGCGTTCAGGAAGTTGGAAGCCTGAGTTCTTCGGCAACGATCGGGGCTCAATGTCCTCCTCAATAGTGGTAAGCAAGTTCTCAACTGGGGAAACCGGGACCGGTTCGAGATCACCACGGTTAAAAGTGGGCTTGGGCTCCTCGTCCGGATCGTAGACGTCAATCTTGTTATAAGAGGGGACGTGTGGGCCGACAAGCAGCGGGGTCGACTCTCCCAAGGTGGTGGAGGACTCGCCCTCGGATTCGGAAGCTTCGATGGCTCGTTGCTTACCCTTCCCCCCCGACCTTGTCCCGATACGCTCGTGGGCATAGACGTCTTCCCTAGCCCGGACACGAACCTGTTCCCGTGACTTCTGCTGTCTCTTTTCCCGCCTAAGGCCAAAGCCACCCATAATCACCCACAAGTTCCTTGGGGTCCAGAAAGAGAGGGCAATGCCTATGCCGCAGATGGCAGCGAGAAAGCCGCTAGCGTTCCAGCCCCGGGTGTGTCCGGCAGAGGAGTGCTCCTCTTCGTTTCCATCTCTGGGTCCTACGGAAATTAAACTGTAGTCCGGAAAATCCTCATACCAGGGTTTAGCAGCCACAATTGACTCGACTGAAATAATGGGAGGAGGGGAATCGCAATACCCAATCGAAATACCAATCCCTGCTACTTCTCCAGCAATGCACTGACTTATGGGCATATGGGGTGACACGGGAGTCCCGCTCTCACGTGTTGGGGAAGTGTGCTCAACCTCAGAGTTCCTCCTCGAAAAGAGTTGGTCGAACATCTTGAAGAGGTAGAGGAGGTGGGGAAGACTTCTGGTCTTTTTCTTGGTGGGCTCAATTGTGAACACAGGAGCGGAGGTCAGGGTTATGTGTATACAATGAGAAGAGCCAGAGTGGAGGGAATGGTAGAGGAGAAGGAGGAGAAGGGCAACAGTGACGCAGGTGGAAGAGAGGCGGCGATGACGATGGTGCAGGTGATGATGCACTGCGAGCAGTAGCTCAGCAGGAGTCCGTGTGGAGGGATGAGTACGTATGATGGCTAGTAGACAGCCTCTTCTTTGATGAAGAGGGAAAGAAATGGGAAGACGAAACGGGCTTGTGGATATATAGGAGGAGGTGGGAGGGGGGGGGGTAGCAGCAGTAGCAGGGAGAGGTAGACGAGAGTGGTGAGTGGTGTGGGTATGAAGGTGAGTCGATTGTAGAGGTGGTGTCGTTAGTTGTGAGGAGGAGCCGGATGTGTCAAAGTCGGTAGGGATTGACGTGGTTCGCTCAAGGGGTGGTGGTGGTGGTGGTGGGTGTTGAGAAGGATGGCCACGCCGACGTCAGCAATAGCAGAATTAGACTGAGAATTAGACCCGAGGGGGGGTAATTGCTGGAGAAGGCGTAAAAGCTTGTGGGACTCGGAGAAAGACGAAGGAGCAGGAGGATGAAGCGCAGGATAGCGTGAAAATAATTGGCGGTGAGTCTAGGGAGTAGTTTAGCTGTGCTGCTTCTGCTGATGATATTGATGATGCTGATGGACCGAGGTGAGCAAGCACCACCACCCAAAGTGGATTTTGATGTAAACGGTGATGATGATGTCCTTGATGGTGATGATGGTGATGATGGTGATGATACTAGTAGTACCCGAGGGAGCAACAGTAACGGATGGATATATCTCCCCTAGGCAGCCGGTTCATGTTTTCCTGGGAGCTATTATTGTCGGAGTGCCCCCACCTACTTTAGATGATCAGGCGAAGTACTCGTACATGATAATGTTACAATGGTTGACGGCGGTAAATATTAACACTGTAGTGCTCCTAGTGATAATCGGTGACAATGGTTCAAAGGGGACGACAGAATCCAGCAATTAGACCCGTCAAATTTCCCCAATTCCAGAAAGAAAATCAAAATCAGAGCAAACAATTGGAGCCTTTGCTGTCGTCGATTCGAGCAACAAACGAGTGCATGCGTGTAGCGTGTTAGACTCTCTCTTGCTGGCAGGATCTATTTTCCTTTCTTTTTTCTTTTTTGTTTTCTTTCCCTTTTTCCTTTTTCCTCTTTTCTTCCCTTCCTCTCTGGCCTCCGAATCTTTTTCCGCCTATCCTGTCCCTCACTTCCCCCCAAGATCTAGACGAACACGTAGACACTGGCTTTGCAGCGTATCTGCAATGTGTACAGGGACAGCCTATCAGGGATGCAAGAGGGAAGCGATTCGAACTGCTGGCTAGGCCAAGCCCTGCAGGGCGGCAGTCTACTTGAGCACAAGGGGAAGCGACGGGAGTTTGAAAGTGTTCGGAATTGGGAAGGGTGGCCAGGAGAGGCTATGATATGAGGGGGGTGCAGAAGAAACCGGGAAAAAAGAGAGACTTTGAGGGGTTGAATGGAAAGGGTGTGTGCAAGAAGCGAATGGTTGGCTGGGACGAGTACTCGAGTACCAATGGCAGAAAAAGGGACCTTCTCCGTAAACGGATTTACCGGTACCGTAGCTACAAAAGGGCATCGTCTGTGAGTAATATGTAGAACGGGTTCCAACAAAGTTTATGATGGGTGGTTGGCAGAAGCGGGTCAGGAAGGGAGAGGCTGTTGCGGACCGGTACGTACCCGGGTACCGTAGACGAAAGAAACAACTACGGGACGGAGGTCTATAACACCTAAACTTACCCCAAAGCATCTCGGCTTCAACAAGCTGAACCACGCACAGAGGATGCCCGAGCGTGCACGAGCCAAAGCTCAAGAGACGGAGCAGGATGAATACTCGAGTACAGGTAAATTTATTTTTATTCTTATTCTTATTCCTATTTTTATGTATTTTTATGACAAGTATTACAGGGAAGAGGAGGGGGGGATCGGAGGTGGTTAACCGGGAGAGATAGTGAGAGACATGTCCAGCAAGCTATGCCCAATTCAGGCACCATTTATTCAACCCGATTCCTGTCACCTTGTCACCCTCCGTGCTGCAAGCTCTCCAGCCACAAATACTAGTACTCTGCTCCACACACGCGCCACTAGCCTCAAATTCCAATCTCACCGGCCGTTGAATGCTGCATGTCGCAAGCATTTCCATCCATCCATCGGGCCAGCCAACAATTCAATACGAAAACGCATCCATCCATCCACCCTCACTTTACTCTACCCTCCCTTCGCTGTCCGTTTCATGTTCAATGAGATGGAGAAAGAAGAAAAGGATGAAGAAAAAAAGGAAGGAAAGAAGGAAAGAAGGAAAGAAATGCTACCTTGCCCTGCTTGCCCCCTCCCCCACTTCTCGTCTCGCCTCATCCATGATTTCCATGCTGAACAGTAAACATGAACACGTCCCGTTGGCCTACCGCAGTGCATCTACGAATTTTCCCCAAGACTTCTCTCTAACCGCCGCGCATCCCATGTGATTCCCCCCAAGCCCGTCTGGAAAACACTACCCTACATACCCTTATTGTATTCCCCGTGTTACGAGAAACAGTTCATTCCCACCCACTCGTTTCAGGAACATGCAGTAACAGCCGGGTGACCAGCCAGCCAACTGGCAAGCCTACAGTACTGTACTCGTACAGCATTCTCGCCTGTCGCATAGATCCCTCTGTGGTAGTGCCAATACCGGGGGGACTGTGCTTGCTTTTTTTACTTCGAAGTGGGAGCGAAACAACGCATCAGTTGGTGCCGGTAAGTGGTAAGTGGTTAGTGAAGAGGTCAAGCCAAAAAAGCGAGGTAATTGCTCTTTTTTGGGAAATGGGGAAGTTGGATTTTTGAGGTTCAGTGCGCGGGGCAGTTCTCGGGGCAGAGCTAGGCTGTGGATGGTTTTGAGGGGCGGGGGAGTGGAGGGCAGTTATCACGGTGGTGCTTTGGGGAGAACGTTCTGACCATCATGCCATCGATCGCATGAGCTAGTTGAGCTTGCCATTTATCATTCCACAGCATACCATCGGCGAGCGCAAACAGCAGACTACGGCCCCTCTCCTACCACCGTGGAGACTTCATTTTCACCTTACCCCCTTTAAGGCTTTATAAATAAAATAAGGTGAGTGGAACCGGAGAAGTTGGGGAAATAAATTCGAAAGACACTGTCCGTTCCGCCACCACCGCGAGGCTCTCGAGCCGCGGGGGGGGCTGGCAGATCTTTGCGGTCTGGTTGATCGGGATTTGTTTGCGGTGCCAATTGTTTCTGCACGGGTATAACTATGGTAGGGTAACGTAGTATAAGGTTAGGGTGCAGTTGTGTGAAGGTATAGGAATGAGGTAGATGGCATACCGGTATGGTACGGTAGTCCCGTCCGTTGCATTCTGGAATTTTATGAAGCTGCGATATCGGAGAAGACTGGAGGAGGTGTGCAGCGGTGGGCTTTGGCGGCCATCCCGCGGTCCGATGCCCATAGCGCCATGCGCTTTGCTTGTACTGTATAGATACTGTATGATACTCGAGTACAGTACCTGCTGCCAGCACAGGTATGGGATACGTATGATACTGTTTCGGTACGGTACTCGAGTATCATACCTCCCTCCTTCCCCCACAGTGAATAATCTCAAGCCTGTTCTATCGACCTCGCATGCAGCAGGACATGGTCTGATGAGGCGGGCTACCCGGTGCCAAACGAATACAAGTACCAGCAATTCCTCCGGCTCATCTGTCCCCTTCTCCCACCCCCTTCCCCCGTCATTGATTCCTACATAAGCAACCATCCGTTCTATCCTAACCCTCTATGGTAGATCAACCCACCACCTTTTACATGCTCGAGTACCGTACCGTACTTGTACCAATACCGGCAGTGCCAGACGCTAAAAACCGACTCTCTTGTTTTAATGGCTACAAGTACGGTGCTAGTACGGTACTGAGAGCTAGGCAGATACTGCTAGGGTAAATTTATTCGTTTCTCGCTTAGTCATACATACAAAAAAAAAGTAGCGCCTTGGCATAAATCTGCATCCCGAGTACTGTACGATATGTGTTCACTTTTCCTAAAAATGCCCCTCCTGCCCTTCTCACCAACACTTCACTTTATCAAGCGCTGAGTTCACGGAATCAAAGAGGAGGAAATTTTAAGTGGTTCCAAACAGAATTTTTCTCCCAAAACTTTTGCTGTTGGGGTTCCATATAATTTATTTATCCTTGTAACGTTGGGGCTCGTTCGTTGTTGGATTTGGTGCTGAGGGTCTAGCCAGACCGGTATCCACCCACCTACGAGTACTCGAGTACGAGTACCGTATAGTACTCTACCTATCCAGCCACAGCCCGCTGCGGCTCTGCGGCTATGGAAAAGGATACACCTTCCCCCTCGGTTGCTCACCCTCCACCCGTCTGACTGGCAACGTCGCGCCGCGGATGCCCCATCCTTGCGGGTTGCGCTGGCAGCGCTTTGACCCAGTGATGCGGTAAATTTAGGGTTGGGGTTGGTATTTCGGGGGGCTTCTCCCCTTTTTTTTGTTTGCTTGCCATGATGGGGGGGAGAGATTTTTTTCATTTAATGGGAATTTTCGTGTGTAATGGGAGAGGGAAAGAGGATGGCAGGATTGTAGGCGAGGCTTGTAATTTTCAGCAGCGTTAGATGGGATGGAGTGTCGATAGGTATGGGGCATGGTAGATTGTATGGTAATGGTATTGGTGTTTTCCAGATTCCACCGCGCGATCGTTGGGGTGGTGGATTATTGGCCATTCATCGTTCAGCATCCCAATCAGGGGACGAGTATGGAAGAACACAATGGGGCCATCGTGCGGTATCGTACTAGTATATAACCGGATACAGCGGTGGCACCTGGCACTCATTGGAGAGGTTCATCAGGTTCCTCGCTCGATATTATGGGGGCAACACGTCTGCCCTCTCCCTACCTGTCTTTCCGCCGGTCCTATCTGGCCGACTGGCTGGCGACCCATTGCACGGTAGCAACCCCCTGCTCTCGGGCCGATGAGAACGAGGCGTCGGGACCAACGGGAGTGCGAGGTATCAGCTGTGAGGTGTTCCCGAGCTACTGGGCGGGATGGAGACACCACATACCGTACTCGAGTACTTCTGCCTACCGTCGAGCTTCATTGCTCGCGGCAGGAGGTCCGTGGCGGATAGTGATGATGATGGTGATGGTGATGATGATGAAGTTGAGAATAAGTCTAGATCTCGCGCGGAAACGTGTACTATCGTTCGAGTGCCGTAACGTGTGGTGGATAGGTAGTCTACCATCTGGTTTGACGAGTCTGGGGGAGGGGTATCTATCTATAATAATATTATACATGTACACATCCTCCCACCGCCAAATGATGTACCGGTATGAGTATTCCGTTGGGAGGGTATGGTAGGCTTGATGAGCAGGGGTGGCGAGCGTATGATAGATAGACTACCGGTAGACTATTGTACGGCGGGTTGCTGGCCGATGGGTGTTGAATATCATCAGCTTTCGCTATTCTTCCGTTATTGCACTCGTATGTATGATGCTCAGGTTTGCACTCGTGAAAATACCCTGTCTGCCAGTAGATCATGCTTTGAACATTATTGCCTTCACGCGATTTGCTGTGACCCCCCCCCTTCACTCCTCCTTACCTCCACCACATGTCATACTCGTACATGCCGTAGGGTACTGTACCAGTATGATACAAATAATCTTCCTCTCACATGCGCGACCAAATATGCCATTCCCCACTACCATTCACTCTACTCGAGCTATTATCAGCGGTATGTCCATCATACCCAATAACGTAACCCGGTCGGTTTTAGTCGGCATGCAAGAGTGCGGTAGGAGTGCCGGGAGGTAATTCAACATCATACCCCACAAGTATCCATCCACCCATCAATCAACCCACCGGGGATTGATCCATCCCCAATCTGACCACCACCACCACCACAGCCTCGGCCCCGGAGACCGGGGCGGAACGAGAGATAGATAAAAGTCGGAAAAACGATACACGATACTTGTACAAAGTTACTCGTAAAAAAACTCACGGGTATTAGTACCCCCTACCTTTCTCTGTACTAACTAACATTTCTTATAGATGGGACTTTTGGCAAGGAGGATGTTGTGCGTGTCACCGACACTTTGTCGACGGTACAAGTATGATCTCACATGATCTCACATGTCATTCTGTTGTAGGGCTGAAGATAGGCAACGCTGGTGGTGGTGTCGGATGAATCCTGGTAGGGTATTCAAGTCGTACAATACCGGTGACTTATGCGGGGGAGGGAGGGAGGGAGAGTGCCGGTACCATGCTGTACTTTACGGTACTCCACTGTGGATGGCGGGTACCGGTGCTTGCTTCGGCTGGGATTTCATTTCACAAAGAGTGATCAAGTTAGATCAGCGAATTCCCCTGGAGCCAGAGGGGGAGGTTTAGACTATTTGTGGGACCTTGCGTCGGTGGAGAATGAAGGGGGTGGGGGTGGGGTCGGTTTATGTCAGGAGTGAATGGTATGTACGGGATGGTCCCGATGTCCGCGGAGGAGGGGGTATTACAAGTGATGAGTCGAGTTATTTGGGAACTTGTTTAGAATTTCAGGCCGGTATATAATGGATGGGTGATCCGCTGGTCGGAGGGGGGGGTTTGCTGGCTGCTGGTGGGTATTTGCTAGCATAAGGTGTTCTCTCGTTCGTCCATTTCTGAGTTCGCCAATACACCCTGCTTCATCCATCTATCCAGCAACCTATATCAGACGGACCTAATTAATCAAACAAACCATGTCGCAATCCCCCGAGCGAACCCCTGCCGTGCCGAATGGCCCCCAGCACCCTCCTCCCGCAGCTTCCCAGCAAACAGTCTCGCTCCCCCACGAGATCCTCCAAGCCGACCCCGCAACCTTCGTCAAGGGCGGCATTCCCCTCACCGAGAACGATTACGCCCAGTCCTCGGCCGACACCGGTGCGGCTGAAGATGCTAAATTCCCGCGAATCTCGCGGCCTGTGCCGATGATGAGGGTTGAGTACGACGTCGTGGTTGTGGGCAGTGGGTATGGGGGTGCCGTAACTGCATCGCGAATGGCGAGGGCCGGGAAGAGCGTTTGTGTGCTTGAACTCGGGAGGGAACGGTGGCGTATGTTGTTTCCTTCTGCCTGTGGAGGTGTTGGAGTGAGAGCTGATGATGGTGGGGCTTAGCGGGCGAGTATCCCGTGGGATTGCTGGAGGCGGCACCGGAAGTGCATGTCTCTGGGAACAGAGGGAAGAATGGGGAGCCGGTTGTTGATGCTACCATTGGGGATCCGACTGGGTTGTATCATTTGGTGCTTGGGGAGGGGCAGAATGCTTTTGTTGCTAATGGTATCACTCATCCCCTCCTCCCTCCTTTACCGGATATTAATTCTTGTGATTGAATGCAGGGCTCGGCGGGACTTCCCTTATCAATGCCAACATCTTCCTGTCGGCGGACAAGCGTACCCTGCAACTTCCGGCGTGGCCGCAGGAGATCTCTTCCAACCCGGCGTCTCTGGATACATGTTTGTCTCCGAATACTTCTGCTTGTGATTTTGTGGTTTCGCTCGACTGACTTGAAAAGACTATACTCGTGCAGCTAGTGTTTTACAGCCGGTGCCCTATCCGGATGACTTTCCGCAACTCAAGAAGTTGAGTGTACTAGAAAAGCAGGCGGAATTAATGGGACAGAGGGAGCATTTTTACCGCGCACCCCAGACTACTGCTTTCACGAATGGTCCGAATAGTTCTGGTATTGAAATGCGTGCTTCAACCCTCTCCGGCCAAGACTGCACTGGTGTCAATGATGGGAGTAAGGGAAGTGTGTTAATGAACTACCTCCCCGACGCCTGGAATTGGGGCGCAGAACTGTACTCCCCCCTTCCCCCCAAACAGGCCAATGGATATCACTGACCATCACAGCTTCTGCGAATGCGAAGTCCGCTACGTAAAACGCGACCCGAGCAATAATGCCTGGCTCGTCCTCTTCGCCTGGCACGGCGACAAGCGCGCGAAGTTCGAAGACTTCCATAGGGAACTGATGTGGGTGAAAGCCCGAGAATTTGTCTTCCTCGGCGCCGGCACGCTGGGCACGACAGAGATCCTTCTGCGCAGCCAGGACCATGGCTTAAAAACTAGTTCTGAGATTGGCCGTGGAATGAGCGGTAATGGAGATATCCTCTCGTTTGGGTATAATACCGATTTCGAAGTAAATTCTATCGGACGCGAAGATCCCGGGAATCATCCCCCAATTGGACCGACGATTACGGGGGTTATTGATATGCGTGATGCTATGCCGGATGTTTTGGATGGTTATGTTCTTGAAGAAGGAGCGGCACCGGAGGCGCTGTCGAAGCTGCTGCAGGGGATGTTGGAGCTTATGCCTGGGAAGGTGTATCCAGAGAATTATGGACTTTCGGAGAAATTGCGGCATCTGTTTTCCCGTGCTGAAGCGAGGTTGTTGGGACCGTATACTCCCGGTGGATCGGTCAATCGTACACAAATCTACCTCATCATGTCTCATGATAGTAACGAGGCGACGCTCACGCTTGAGAATGGAAAACCGTATTTGAGGTTCTTGGGGGTTGGTCGCAGCGCGCATGTTAAAGAGTTGAACGAGATGTTGGCAAAGGCTACGTCGAAGATTGGAGGGACGTTGATCAATTCGCCGTTTTATTCACTGCTTGGGGAGGAGGAGATTACGGTTCACCCTATCGGCGGAGCGAATATGTCTAGTGATGGCACTGGGAGGAATGGTGCTACTAATCATTTTGGGGAGGTATTTACCGGCACAGGTGATGATGTACACCCGGGGCTTGTAGTTGTTGACGGGAGTATGATACCTTGTGCTCTTGGGGTCAATCCTTTTGCGACCATCACTGCTCTTGCGGAGAGAAGTGTGGAAGGGGTGGCTGCAAAGCGACAGATCAGGATCGACTACGCCACTCGCAACACCCGTCTGAACCTCTTCGCACCCCCAATGCGTAGTTTCCCGCTCACAAGGGATATGGCGGAAGCCCAACAGGCTATCTCCTCTGCCGCTGGGAAGAGTGGAATCCGCTTTACGGAGGTAATGGAGGGATATATGTACATCGGCGACGACATCGAAGACTTCCAAGTCGCGGCCGACGCCGCTAGGGGGTCTTCGACCTCCGCACGCTTCCTGCTTTCCGTCGATAGTTATAGCACTCAGAATCTTATTGAGCGATCTGATCATGCTGCACTTGCAACTGGAACCTTTGCGTGTGGAGCACTGAGTAGGGACCCGTTTATGGTTCTCCGTGGCGAAGTGCAGTTCTTTTCCTTGGACTCTGATGTCGCTGATGGAAAGAACTTGGCGTATAAACTTGACTTGGTCAGTTCGGATGGGAAGCTCTTGCATTTCAACGGGTATAAGGTGATAGACTCGAAGATGGCGTTCCCAGCTTCAAATACTTGGAAGGCTACGACTACGCTCTATGTCACGCTGACTAGGCCGGATAAAACTGTCGTAGCAAGGGGCGTACTAACTATCCCATGGAGGAATTTCGTGTCTGAAATCTCTAGCTTCGGACAAACTGGAAGTACCGTCTCGGGAAGGATTGGCGCCACGGTGGATTTTCTCGGCTACTTTGCTAGCCAGACGGCGGGGTACTTCTTCAGCCCACTCAGACCGCTCCAGTACCCAACGCTCACGACGAGTGGGTATTATCGGAAGCAGCCACCGACCGAAATCGTGACCTTGACAGCACAGGACGGGGTCCAGACGTTTATGCACGTCTACACTCCAGACCCTACATCGGGGCCACGCCAGAATAACCAAAACGGAGGAGGCGGCGGGCTACCACCGATCCTCATGATCCCAGGTGCAGCCGTAGACCACCGGGTAACCCTCTTCCCGAATCACATCCCGTCACTCATACTAACAACAATGTTTAGATCTACGCCCTCCCCACGATTCCTACCAACGCGGTGGACTACTTCCTCGCCCGCGGCCACACAATCTATATCCCAACGCACCGCGTCGGCCGTACCCCATTGGCCAAGTCCTCACAAACCACCTTCTCCGCGTGCCTGGACGTAAAGGCCGCGCTGGAGCACATCCGTCGCGAAACTCCCTCGCAAGTATACGTAATTGCACACTGCGCCGGTAGCATCGCCCTCGGCTGCGGCCTCCTCGATGGGACGATTCCGGCGAGTTGGCTGAAGGGCCTAACGGCCAGTCAGGTTTTCATCTCCCCACGCTTCGCAAAGGCAAACATGATAAAAGCGCGTCTGCCCCTACCACTACCAAGAGTGTACTCGAAGATAGTAGGGGAGTACTTTGACTGCGCGACTTCGCCTACAGACGCTCTGCCTCAACGCCTCATGAACCAGCTACTCCGATTTTACCCCGTTGGCTCCAGGGCCGAAATCTGCAATTCCGCTGTGTGTCACCGGTCGGAGTTGGTCTTTGGTAGGCTGTGGTCGCACAGTGGGCTGAACGGGGCTACCCATGCGAATCTGGGGAATTTCCTTGGCGGGACGAGCATGCGCTGCTTGACGCACCTCATGCGCATGGGGAGTAGCGGGTACGTTATGGATGACGAGTTCGCCTCATTAATCACCGAAATCGGGCTGAGGCGGCTTGAGGGCTTGAAGGTGTTTTTTGTGCAGGGCGGGGAGAACGCAGTTTATGACCCGGAGAATACACAGACGAGTTATGAGTTGCTCAGGGAGGAGTTTGGCAGTGCGGGGGTTGGGAGGGTTATTTTGTGAGTTTTTACCCTCTCGATTTGTGTGATTCTTGGAGGTGGCGAATGCTGACTTTGCGCAGTGAGAATCGTGGACATCTGGATTGCTGGATGGGGAAGAGCGCGTATATGGATGTTTACCCTGCTGTTGCGAACCATATTGATGAGGTTATGAGCGGTGGTGTTACTGGTGAGGTTGCGGGAAAGGGTTAGTTTGTCGGAGGGTTTGGAGGGATGAGTGGTGGGAGTGATGATGATACAGTGCTGGGGTATGTGATGGAGGGGTGCGGATTATTTACTTTTTGCGTCAATAATGGATAATGAGGCTCTCGTCGTACGAGTACTTTTGAATTTAATAATTTATATTGTCATATCGTACCTGGATGAGGGGAAGTGCACTAGTATCATAGCACTAATCTCCCGGAGCAGACCTCATGTATAACGACTCGACCAGCTACACATCAATCCGTCAATCAGTCAATCAAGCTCACCTTTTCAGTTTCTCTAACGAATTATCACCAATAGTGCAAACCAACGCAGGAAACACCTCGTCATGTGCAATAATTCATAACCCAACTCCCAGCACACCGCAGCGGCGGGGTGGGGGGTTAACCACTCAATGGCCGGACACTGCCCACCCACCCCACAACGACCCGACACACACGGCACGGGGCAGCATACCAAATAGTAGTGAGCCCTCCCAAATATAGAGGCATGGGAGAGGGAACATGCCGGGCCTTGAGTGAGCGTGGTTGGGACACCCAGAGGAATTTCAAAAAAAAAGCACATCTCGGAGAATTATGAATCGCTCTACCTACCCGTCGATAAGAGTGGGTCTTCCGGGCGGTCGGTTTGCCGCCCCGAGTTACGAATTGCCCCCCGGGGTTCGTGCTTTTCGCGGTGTGTGGAGGTTGCGGGTGTGTGTCTTTGGGAATCGATTGGCTGATTGGCTGGGCAGTCGGTGCTTGCTCGCTCGGCTGCGGATGTGGTGGCTTTGGACGGGTGGAATTGTCTGGGGAGTTTGGTGCCCAGTCGCGTGGTGGCGGTGGCGGATTTTGCTGCGGGGATGGGAAAGAGCGATTGGTGTTCCATGGTGGGGTGGACTTGGTGGTTGGTTTTGGGTTATGATATGGATGGATGTTTCTTGGTGGGGCTTATGATATGATATACTTTGCGCAATATTTGTCCCCTAGAGTCTGTCTGTCTGTATGTCGCCCTATTGAATTCCGGTCGGGCGTCTGGGTGTGAACGCCTGTTTGTCCTTCGCATGTTAGGGTTAGCCTCTGGTATCGTGGTACTACTCCGTCCCTAGTATGATATGGTAATATGGTACCATTATCGCTGGGTCTGGAGTTTTGGTTTGGGATAGTTTGCAGCTTACATTGTCTACTGAGATTGGGCTTGGGTTCCGTTCTTATAGGTTATTTATTTGCTTTCCCGTCTTGCTGGTCCTGAAGGTTCTTTTTTTCCTTCTTCTTTCCCTCCCCAAAACCCAATTTATCTCGGGGCGCGCTACCCTATGTGATGCTTGATAGCATAAGTTATATGATATCTTTGTCCGTGGCAGGCGGTATGATATCTCCAGGACTGCCTTCTTCGCAGCTTCCTCATCTTTGCCTAGTCCTTTCTTTGGGATGGCGCAATAGCCGGTGGAAGGTATCACATGGACATGCAAATTGCTTGTTCAGGGAATACGTTGCGGTCGACTATCGTATCATGGGTTGGCCAGAGTGCCGGAGGAGGGGGGTGGGTGGGTAATAAACGAGAGGAGGGAATTCACAGACATGGGTCACCGATCGCCAATAACGGTATTCCTACGTTTTTAGAGAAATGTTAATGGAAATACTGGTAATAAAGGATGTGGATCACGATTAAATAATATGTACGACCAGCGTCCTTCAGGCAGTATGCGGGGGTGAAACGAATAGCATATGATAGGAATGCTACAGTATTCCTAACGTATGGTGGCTCAGTTCAGGGCATTTCACCCTGCCTTGGGCCGAGCATCACGAGTTTCCTGTCGGCTTTCATCCCCAGACGTGAACGAATCGGAGTGATCCCCCATGACATGGGTCATACCCCGCCTGCCGTACTCCCATATGCCCGAATTTCGGCCGGATCCTGTGGTTACATCCAGAAGCTCGGTAGTTTACCTACTGTATATCGCATCTGTCTCGAATCACTGCTCATCACTGTGGTGGCCTTGTTTATTTCGAATTCGCTTTCGGGTACTCTTTTCTTTCTCTCGCCACGGTATGGTAGTTGGATGGGTTGTGTTGTAATGCTGGTCTTAGGGCTTGAGCGGAGCCCTGGTGCCGCCGCACTATCTGGGTGACTGTGGCTTCAGCATGGTCCGGGCGAATCATGGAGATTTGTGGTATGTTTTCGGGCGTGCGGGAATTGCTCGAGTGAAGCACTGGCAAAGGCCCGGGGCAGGGGATACATGTGCAAGCACAGGTGCTGAATGTTTGGCAGCCTATTCGGCTTACATTTGGCAGAGATTGGAGAATGGTTGCTGCGGGCACCGACTCTTCTTGAGCCGGCCCTTCGGGCCGAATCGCTAGATTGGTTCCACTTCCACCGTTAGGAAATCTTCAGCATAGTAGTGTCCTATTCGAGTAGAGTGTAAGAGGGGCTTTCTAGTATCCTTCACTAGTGAGTTTTCAACGGGGGATACCTCTCGATAACCCGTGGGTGACGAACGGGGATCGGTAATGGGCGGCCTATTTCTTTGTTACCCTACTCCAGCACTTTGACGAATCAACTAACGTTACCCAGGTTGTTCGCCCGGTTTTCGAGAGGTGCTCCCCGTTGAAGACTGTGCAAGTATCATATCATACCGCAGTTAACATTCGTCCTCCTTTGCCGAGGAGGAAAGTGTGGATGGATAGTGCCCAAGGCCACTGTCGCAACACTTCTATCTAGTACTGTACAGTACACAGTTCCCTACTTGAACTTCGTGACATGCAGATAACTTAGGGAATCATTTTACTCGAATAGTGTGGAACAAGGTGAGGAAAAACAAATACTTTATCTCCGAGTCGCATACACGATTCACTGCATTTTTCTGTACTGCGCTCCCATCTGGCATACCCATGGGAAGGCGCATTGAGTCTTTGGTGCAATGTGGTTGTTGCTGAGTGCTGCTTGCCAGCAGTTCATAAAGTTCTCGGATGCCCTGGCACCAAGGCATATGTATCATACCAACTGGCGCCGAAAGATGGAGTCTTGGAGCCAAGGCATCCGAATACTTTATGAATGGTCAAGTAGAGCCTTTACCTGCTTTGGGGACTTTCTGTTTCGCCCCTTACTTCTTGGTTAGCCCCCCCCCTCACGTTGCAAAGCAGACGCGCAAGCTGTCTGTGGCAATGGACTTCCATCCATCCAGATCTCCCTGTCACACTAAGTTAACTTGACTTTTGGGCGCAGTGACTTTTGCCACAGTTAACCTATTGTTGAAACCGCGTTTTTTTACATTGAGGATGTTGGATTTATTGCTAAGCATGTGTCCTTGGGCCCCTGTATCGTTTGAGACAAACCGTGGTAGACTATGGGCTGTGGGTTCTACTCGTGAGTCATGGTATTCACATTTGGTGACGGGAGGGTTTTGGAATTGGGCACCGCATCTTGGGAGAGCGGGGGGAGCAAAGTACTGAATTGTATAGTGCAATGAGAGGATGTTACTTGCTGAGTATTGCCATACTGGATATGTTGAGGTTTTACGAGTTTGTAGCGCGGATCTCTACCTACCCTGACCGAATGACAGTACATAGTACAGAGGGACTCTTTATTTATCACTTTCCTGATTCGGAGACTTTGGTTTCTGAAATAACTAAATTAGTTCTACCCTCTGTCCCTCTTTACTGCCCCACTCGTACATAAGTTGCCTCTCTCGCGAAAGACCTATATCAAGCCAACGTCAGGATAAGCTTTACTACTACTCGAGTACAGTGCTGTGGAGGTGAAGACGAGACTCTACAGTTTTGCAAAATCTTGAATGATGTGTTCGAGGTTTAATCATGTTTTTAGTTAGGTTTTTCTGATGTGGTAGAAAGGGCTTGTTGATCTAGACTTGGCTGGAAAATTTGTGCTAAGAGAAGAGAAAAGAAGATTTTCTCCTTCTTCATTTTTGTAACTAAGCAATCGAATCAACAATACGAGAACCACTAATACGAACCTGTGAACCACGAACCGAGTGAAATTAACTTGTGAACAACGAAGTGAAAGATAGCCGAAGGACTGTGCTACTTTCTTCCTTGCGATACAAACTGCTTGATTTTCATTCCTTTCCTTCACTTCCTCTTGTTTTCAATACAAACTTTACTGATCATCTGGGTCAGATTCTGTTTTCTAGGAACGAAAAATACACTTTCAGTGCCAGCACTAGCGGCAGGCCAGCCACTGTCCCACCATTCCCGCCTCCTTCTATTCTCCCTCTCCTGCTAGGACCATTATCGGTTTTCGATTTTGTTTTGCCCCCCAGCGCAAGCTCGCTTTTCGCCGGTGCAAGGCCTCTGGGTGGTGGACCGTCGGCATGACCAATATTCTAGCCTACTTTGCCGAACCGGGGACGGGTTTTTTTCTTTTACCCTACAATCCATTTCTTTCATTCTTTCCCCTCACTTTTTTCTTTTCTTTTCTTTTTTTTAGAAAGAAAAGAGAGAAAAAGAAAACCCTACCACTTGGAAAAGGCAAGGGGGGAGGGAATGTTAAAGTTAGTGTGGAAGTTGTTACCAGACGGTCTCCCGAGAGACTTGTGCTTCATTCAGTTTATTTGTAGTAGTACGGCACGGTAAGGTGGTGCAGCCAGAGGATTGATTTGGTTTGCACGCTGATCTGTGGGTGTGAGGTGTCTGTATTTTTGATGGATATTACGATATGGAGGACCTGGAGGGAGCACCTGGGAGGAGGAGTGTCACGTGTGGAAGCGGCATGTGACTTTTGGCAATATTTCCCATTCAAGACTCCGCATGCACGTACCAAGATCCAGATACCGCGTTGCAAAATGAATTTTATTCTGGTCCATTGCGGGTACCGTATTGCAATATGACCCGGGTGGAATTGAATAAGACACGCTGGTATGATACGTGCCAGGCCATTGCTTTTGCTATTGCGTCCGAGGAGTTATTTGGGAAGGTTATGATCGTGATGGCGATGATTGGAACTTAACGTTTCCAAGGTAGAAGCGAGACATCAGGGGAAGCGAGACATGGTCCGTGCCTAAAGATCTGTGCTATCACGATAAGAAACCAACCCACGACAACTTATAAAAAACTCAGGAAATTCAACCCACCAAAGGAACTAGTGAAATCCGC